TCACCTGTTTGTAATATATTCTTATGTGACCCGACGCGAAATGACAGACGTGACAGCGTGCCGCTCCGTTACTAACGTGCAGGCTGTTCGGGTCCTACAGTATTCCCTGTCTGAACCTAAGCCTTTGACTCAACGGTCGGCTTGGTACGTCCGTCATGGCGACACACAAACTGTCTCGCATGTATATCCTATTCTCTGTTCTTCTTGCTCTTGTGTTTCCCGTCGCCGCTCATGAACACCACGACGAACTCACTGAAGAACAAGCAAACGCCCCCATAGACATGATTCTGCGGCTTCACATAATCGTTCAAATCGCTGTATGGGGCTTCCTTTTCCCCACTGGAATGGTGCTTGGGTTGTCTAGGAGTCGTTGGCATGTCCCACTGCAGGTCAGCCCAGTCAAATACTGTCGTGGCGCCGCAGTTTGTGAACTTAGACCCACAGAGTGTCGGATTTGCGTTGACTGCCGCAGGGTACATACTCGGCCACTCGCATGGCGGGCGTGCGTTCCTTGCAGGCGTCCATGGCACGATGGCGAACGTAATGTTTGTGCCCATCGCACTTCAACTTACTCTAGGTGTCTACCTGAAGCTGCATATACACGAGCGTTCGCTGCGTCCATGGGCTGTACGCCTCCATGGAGTTGTTGGGAAAGCGTATCCTGTCCTGGGGTGGACTCAGATGCTATTCGGAGCTATCGCCGCCCGAGGGTACTGTCGCGGAGGGCATCTGGGTCAGTGTCTGGCTCATTATATTATGGTACGTCAGTCCTCTCCAGAGGTTTGCTTTTAATGACAAGAAATTTGTAGGGAAGCGGATTCATTGCGTACGGTACAATTATGGCAATCATGCTGCTTGTGGGAGAAGCTTGGGTGCGGCGCAGTGGACGCAGCCCAGAATGGTGGGATTCGTGGGTTATAATGCTATGGGTATGTACTACCTGACTGGTAGTATATATTGAAAATGTACTGACAAATTGATGTAGGGAATTGGTTTGTGCAAACGGTACCCTCTTTGCTTTCGTTGCTCACAACGAATGTAGTCAATACCTTCACTGAGCACCGAGGCTCGGTATGGTCCGTCAAAGACATGCAACATACGTACGTTTATTGTATACCGTGCTAATCACACGCTGACAGTTCCTTAGTATCCTGGGAGTTCTCTGTGCGATTTGATCACATTGTGCCGGTGACCATAGCTTATTAGTGTCCTACCAGGGTGGACTGGAGGCGGGCTGGGCATTGTGCTTTCCCGAAACAATCAGGTATCTTGTAACATCGGCTGATCTTTGCGTGTGTCAGCTGATGAATAATTCTAGCGAACCGTGGTACCATCTCTCATGTGAGTGGGTATGCGGATGTTCACTGTGATCTTCCGCAATTTATGGACTGTACAGTATCATCCTGACTGGCTGGGCGATGTCTGACCATGCGCAAGCTCTCATGATCTCTACCAAGGTTTGTTCTCAGTTATTATACATCTGTTAGTCTGATGGAATCCCATTACCTCTGCAGGTTCACGCAGTCTTCGGCTACACACTGATGTCAGCAGGTGTTGCACGCATCGTTGAAGTTTGCTTTATCGCCCCCAAATTCGCCCCTCTTGATGCGCCAGATGGGGACAGTCAAAGTGATCACACACTAACGGATATTGGCAAAGATGATTCGAGCCCCAGTGCCGCTGCTGGTCGGGCATTCAGGCACTTGCCATCCTTCGTGAGTTTGATTTTATGATTGTTTGAAATTTCACATGAATCATGTGTGACCTTCACCAGCTCCTTGTCGCGGCAGGGTCAGCTATTGTTTCCGATAACTGCTCAATTCTGCGCTAATGCTTACTGTGAACTTAGTCTGCTCTTTATGGCTGCTACGGATGAAGAACTCGAATTCGTACATGATGAGGAGATGGATCATGTCACATATGTCCTAATTATGTTTAGGTATGTTGACCTTTCCCCTTCGATCTGTCATGCAGTTCACTCATTTTCATCCAATTCCCAGCCTGGCGTTCATCTTTTACACACTCGTCGTTTCCCTTATAAACCTATACTCCAATAGTGGACGGAATGCAACTGCTGCGGCCACAGGCGATGCCATCGAGATGGTTCCTGCCGCAAAGTGGTATGCACCTGTGCCGGCTGCAGAAACTGATGTCGGTCCAGTGCACATAATCGGCGACGACGGCGACGATGATTGAACTGTTTCCATTGGATGCATGGATGGTGGACTGTGATTTTAGAAAGGAATTATCTGTTGTATCTGACCACACTAAGATATGAATGTCTACTAATACAACAAGGTGTGACAAGGACCCCATTTGGAAGCTTGTATGCAATGCTGCGGTGTCAAGGCTATCGAGTGCATATAAGTCATTTATTTGTCATTACTGGTTTTCAGTACGTTGTAAGTGCTCTTCTGTAACGGTAGGTCCCAAACTCATAATGTGAATAAGGTTTAGCGACATTGTATGCGATCTGGCGAGAGGTGATACTGAATTCGACCAGAATTCTAGGCTATACTACCGTAAGGTTCGGATCAGGTGGAGGCGTTCTTATTGGTGGTGTGTCTGAATGTAGCCCAAGCATTGTCAACTCGCATCCTAGCTGTCGAACGAAGAAGCCTCCCGAGGTTGGGAACGGTGAGTTCCCCGAGGTAGTACAAATACGTTTCATTTTCCAGCATCTCATCCAAATCTCATCTAAGAAGTTGTCCTCTGGGGCTATGATGTCCGCGAATGCGGGTGCATCCGGCGCGAGCGTGAGCTGGCACACGGTATAATGGCTGTAGTCCAGCGTGCCCATTTAGAGACTTTGCTGTTGACACGACAAGCTCAAGCACACCGGTCGGAAGGTGAATAGGATAAGTAGGGTGAAGGTTGACTAGATTCGATGGAGCATTACTGCTGATGAGATTGTTTCATTTTCCTTATCTCACACTTGCACTTACATACAGGCTGACGCTGACGGTGTTCAAGACAAGGGGTGTCTATCCGAACCTAGACTCCGAGCTCGTTCATCTGACGCTCTAGAGAGTGTACACCCTGGCGCAGAATGACCATGGGTTTAGAGTGCGATTTGGCAATTGTCAACATAAACTCCATCAATTCAGGAACAGTATCATTCAGCAAGGGCGAGCTTCGCACGGACTCTCCTCTACAACCGTGTAGTACTATGATGAATGCGCGCCAAGTCTCCGAAGGCGGCATTATTGGCCCTTTCTTGTCGCATCAATTAATCTGTTGTCCATCTGCTGACCGACTTGATAGACCTCAATTCAATAGCTACATCCGTATTCGGGCTCTTGCGAATTGGAACGGATATGCGTATGCTAACGATGCCCTACCGACCGCTCGGCAGACCTGCTCTCGTGATGGACCTAATCCATCTGGGACTGAGCATGGTGCCTCGGGAACTGTCAGCATTGTATCTCATCCAAGATATGCATCCCGAAGGATGGGAACAGCTAGGCATTGGGCTAATATTTTTAGATAATGATGCAAACTTACCTCGCGCGGCCATGCACGAAAGGGATGGTGAAATTCAGTGCATTCATGGAAAGCAGCTTCCTCTAACAGAGCGTCCGGATTATAGGTATTTCGTCCGCGCGCGGGCGTGTAAACGAAGGTCAGCTCGAAACCTTGAATTGTTTTAAACTGAGGCATTCTAATAATTCAAGCAAACCCAGTTACAGTGCCAAAGTTACATTTATGCTAAATGCTGCCATATCCCGCGGTGGTACCCTCAGTGGGTCATAGCAAGGGGTCGGATCTAATTCGTTCCGATTTCATGCCTGAGCCACTAATACGAACTGCATTAGATCGGAGCGGTCGTAAGCATAGTCCGTTATCATTTCACGGCCAACGCTTCAACGGGATACGGAAAATTGTGCATCGTTGCAGGTACGTGTGGATCGGTTGTGAGGGCATGTCGTTTACTCCAACTGCCACAGTCAAAGCACCTTGGTTGAAGTGGGGCCAAGCGTAATGAAGCGCCTGTGGTTGGCTTTGAATTGTATATATATACGTACTTTCGATGCTGATTGTTCCTATACACCATTCAGGCATGAGTTATCCATCTTCTCATGGCGTCGTCTCGTCTCAGTCTTCCAAAGCTCCCCCACGTCCTCCGAATGCTTTCATGCTATACCGATCAGCAAAGCTCATAGAACTGAGGGACCAAATTCCTCCGGAAGAACACAAGCGTCAGGCAAAATTGTCGAAGAGTATCGCGAAGATGTGGCATTCCGAGAGCGAGGTTGTCAAAAATTACTACGTGGAGTTCGCCGAACGCAAAAAGGCAGAACATCAAATCGCGTATCCCGACTACAAATACCGTCCTATGCGCAAAGCTGACAAGGCGCGTTTAAAAGCGAGGAAGGTCGTACAGGAAGACATTGTGAATACAGTATCTGCAGACGACACTGGCGAGCCACAGATATGGGAAGACTTCGGTAATGAGGAGGCTGAAGTCCCGCAGGTGTCAGGCCAATGCCAGTATCAAGCTTGTATGCTCTGTTTTACGGCACAGCGACCGGGGGCTTGTCTGGGGCCAATGGCTGTTCCACCTCCTCCACCAGTCTCCTTTCCGCCTGATATACCCGGAGTCCGCTACCTATTCGTCCCCGTCCCCACAGACGCTTATCATCAGCTCGTGCACAGCCAACACCCACCCTGCCAGACGATCGACCCCTTCGCTCTCTCGTCCCCTTACCCACTAGTCTACTCGTCGCTGTTCGAGCTGCAGGAGGCAATCACATTCTTGACTAACCCACCCGAGCTCGATTTGACAGGCGGTATCGATCTCGCTAAGTTGAACATGTCTTCCTGGTTATAGTGTATATGCTGTAGGGAGCGAAAATGGATGCCGCACTTATAGACCACTCATATCTTGCTAGACAAATATTGTCCTGAACCTGTCCTCAACAGTGCCGGAGCAACAGATCTAATTGCTTGATTCGAAGCAGCAACAGTTTAGATCATAAATAATTTATTTCATCAAGAATTCCCGTTGATACTGAATGTACACCATAAATGATTCCTAATTTTCTATCGCTTCTCGGCTCCAGTTGCCAAAAGTCTGGTGATCAGTTGGTGTGTACCGCGCGCGTGCCAAGCGGATAAGCGAGAAACCCGCGGGCTCAACGAAAAACGGAGACGCGCGATAATCTTTCCGCTTCAAACTGAGACTTATGTCCCCTTCGGGGTGACATACGAAAAAATTGGAACGATACAGAGAAGATTAGCATGGCCCCTGCACAAGGATGACACGCTTTCCCGGAGTGGTAGACCTACGGGTCTCAATATTTATTTTTACTTGAATGCATCGCAAAGTTCCACAATAGTATGCTGGAATCAGACTTCAGTCACTAGTAACGTCAATGAATGAGCTGGATCTTCTAGCGTTATTGTTTGATTCTACCAACAGCACATGTTATGTCTACTCGCGAGGTACATATTCAAACAACAGAACAGTCCCATTTACAGTCCCAATAGCTATCCGACCTTCTTCCTCGTCCAAAGCCAAGCGGCTCCAATCATCTTCCTCATCTTGCATGTGGAACACCATCATCCGTGGCTCGTGAGCAATTGCCCCTTCATGAATGGCCTGGCCGCTGGAGGAATTACCCGGCTGCTCCTCGGCGTACCCCGGACTGACCTTGTCATCTTCTGTGCGTTTAATGGTGCGCATTTGGGTATGTGGTGGCGTCCGAGGGGATATTAGCATCTTCCCTGCAATCCGCTGTCCATGGTCACCTGCCTGCGCAGGACCACTATTCGAACTCTGCGCATCCAACCACAGCGCCGTGCCGTAACGCCCAAGGACCATGTCGGATGGTGTAAAGAGGCGTATGGGAGACGATATAGAATGGATCATGAATGGACCGTGGATGGAAGATGTCGCGAAGAGATAAGGGAGCTCCGCTTGTACGGCATGATCCTCTTCGAACGATTCAAACGTGTCGGAATGCGAACGGGCATCTGATAGAGATGGGTTAGGAGGGAGAACATAGTGGTGAATAATGTTCACGGGCCATGGAAACCATGTATCGAAGCGAATGAGGATATCGATCAAAGGGAAGGAAGGCGAGTCGGATTTTATACGAGAAAGACTCCGGGGGGATACTACGATAGTATCGATATTCCATGTCCATTTGTGACTGGTGGCTGGGAGGTAGGACGGCACATCAGAAGACCCATCAACCTGGTTCGATATTTTGTATAGATGTATCCATCGTCGACAAAATGTGATCGCATGGTTGTGTACCAGAACGACAGCCATGCACGTATCTTCCTGCACAGAATATATGACGGTTGCATGAAACTGAGCATGTCAGACACACCTCGTTGAATAGAGTAGGATCATCATGTTCGAGTGGCACACGAAGCTGACAGATTTGCTGTCCAGAGCCTGTATCGATTAAGCGCACAATGTTGTCGACGTCGCTAGCAACAAAGATGTTTCCCTGTAGCGCAATAGCGCGACGATAGCTTGTAAATTCATGTATAGGCTTTAGGTCAAGGTGTTCGTCTTCAGCCAACGAAACCATCGAGTAGATTGTCGTTGTCACCCTGAAGAAGTTCAATCGTACGTCAGCTGCGTCTAGAGTGAATGCATTATATTGTGACTGATAATATTGAAAAACTAAGCTTCGAAGTTGAAGTACTTACATGTCAGCGGCACCCCGTTTGGTGATCGCGATAACTCCCGGGCTTAAGGGATCCGTGTTCACAACGGCACCTGTCATACCTACGCAGTGTAGTGTAGAAATACATTTATGCGTATCCTTTAGGATGTCCCAGCACTGAATGAGAAACTCTCTGGGGGCTCCCGGTTGGTCGTACAAGGTGATGGTGATGACTGCATGATCTCGTCTTCCTGGTAGGAAATGGACTGCAAGATTCCTAGCACGAGAATTCGCGGGTATTCCGGAAGGAACCAATACAATCTGTCTTTGGGACCTTGGGTTCTTTGATATCCAACAACGTCTCAGCACGACGGCCCGAAGCACGAGACGTTCCAGCTGCAATGCCGACGAGGAGGCCAAAGATCGTGCATGTAGTCCCGGAACAGGAATGCGTTCATATGAGATGCAGAGATGCAACACATCATGCCACACGCTGCGTTCCCGAGTCAAACTTTCAATATGGCGACAAGTCTGTCTGGTCCGTTAATGATCATTGCCAATGATCTTGCGATGTTTAGATGGTCGTACTTGCCCGACGTAGATTTAAGACATCCCATACACCAAGATCCTTCAGTATTTGCAAGAAAATATCAATGGGAAGATCAATTAGATGGCGCTGGTCCATCGCATTTTGCGAGTGCGTCAAGACGGCGGAAGGATAGGATAAGTCGTCCCGCTTGGCAGACCCCTGGATTATCTTATCTTATCTGCCCATTAGTTCCGATATAGGTCCACGATCATTGATCAACGCCAATTCGAGTCTCTTTCGCCACCACTCCCGGTGACCTGACCACAATTGTGAACCTTTTCAGCATACTCCTCTCGCCGACTCAAATACGCTCTCCAACAATCTATTGCTCCCAGTAGTTATATCTGAATCTGCACTCTTGTACACACTATGTCTTCCGACAGAGATGTCTTGCTATCGATGGGCTTCGACTCTACCCGTGTCGAATGTCTGGGTCTCGTTGTTCTAACATGTATTAGTTTCTCATGACGTTTTTATCATTCAGGGGCCCTGAAGTCCACGGGTGGTCGAGGGCTTCAACCAGCAATGGACCACATTTTGGAGAATGAGGGAAAGCCTGTGCCCGATCTCTCAACGGTCTCAGCTTCATCCTCGTCGGCATCGCCGCCTGGTGACGCGGTCGAAGGCGAGCCAATGGACGAGGATCAGGAAGAACTGGAGGCACTCAAAGCTGTTTACGGAAAGGAAGGAGCTAGTAGCACATCTGATGCAGAGGCCAAGGTCAGTACTCATAGATGAACCCCCCCCCAAGCTGATGTATGTTCGACTGCTGCCCTTCACATATCTTAGAGCATTCGGTGCTCTGTTTGTGGGAAGATATTCAAAAACACTGCACTGGCCAATTATCACGCCGAGAAGAGCGGTCACGATCAATTCGAAGAGTCAACAGAGGAGGTTGGTTAGCCCACTACGGATGGCATCCTCACACCGGCAATCGCGACTCCAATCTAATATCGGATAATTTGTCAGGTAAAACCCTTGACAGAAGAAGAAAGGAAACAAAAGCTCGATGAACTGCGAGAAAAGATGGCGGCCAAACGGGCGGTGAAAGCGAAAGAAGAAGCAAAGGAGAGCCTGGCAAATGAGGCCATACGGCGAAGAGCTGGCAGGGTACTCATTCAGATCGCTGGTTAGCGAGTCATGATTCAGTTCTAGTACTACAGGATATGAACGAACTTCGAGAAGAAATTCAAGCAAAGGAGATGAAGAAAGAGGCTGAAGCAAAACGGAGGGGTATGGCTATCCTTAGAGGCTTGCTCGTCAGCTGCTCCTTCTCCCTTTCTAATTTCCTTCAATAGAAAAATTGGAAGATGCAAAGGCACGCGCTGCGATCAAAGCACAGATTGAAGCGGACAAACGAGAGCGCGCTGAGAAGGCAGCTCGCGAGAAGGCACTTCGTGAAGGGAAGCCTGTTCCCGGAAGTTCGACCTCCGCGTCTGCCGCTGCTCCTGCAACATCTACACCCAAGACGGCAGGCAGAGATTACCCAGAGACGCGTCTCCAAGTCCGGATGGCAAGTGGGGGTCAGCCATACACAACGACGTTGTCGAGTGATGCCCGTACGTCTTTCTATATGCAGGCTGGAACATGGGAATGACGTTCCATTCAGCCCTCCGTGAGGTTGCCGAATTTCTTGCAGGACAGACGTTATCTGTGGACGTAGATACTGTCACGCTCTCTCAGCACTTCCCTAGGTGAGTAGAACATGCACTACAGCATAGCTGATGCGTTAGCTGATGTTGATTAGGAAAACCTTCTCTCGTTCCGACTTCTCTCGGACGTTGCGAGAGCTTGGATTGACGCCCTCTGCTGTATGTTCTTCCAAATATTTTCACGTCTGTCTCTGACGAGAGATGCTTATAGGTTTTGATTGCTTCCTAGTTGTTTCTATTCAGCTGTTTCTCGCGTTGACAGGAAGGTGCTGTCCACTGGCGTGTATCGATAGGTTTGTACATGTGCATCCGTAATAGTCATCGAGCAACTTGAAGTATGCGCCGCCAGCGGTGACCTCATCAGGCACCCTTCCGTGCCCAAAAGTGACTGGATCCCTCAAACCCGGTCACGGTCTGAGCTCGCCCCCAGACCGGTTGGTCCGTCGATTGTCCGTCGACTCGGCAGGGGAAATATATGCTTCCGCGTGCAATCGAGATTATGCGAAATGAGTTTACGTATCTAAGGCGCTTATGCCTATACAGTGTAGTCTCCGCAACCGAAGCGGGAGTCTGGAGACTCGAGATAAGTAAGTTGGGCGCTTGATGTGGTACCTGCGAGCCATGAGTCCATCACTGCCGGCCCATCAGCTCCTTGACATTTTGTCCTTCTACTCCCATGTCCACCCGTTCCTCGCCCTGGAGCTATCGCTGAGTGTGCTACGATTAGTTCACCGACGCAGCAATGGACTTCAACCATTCGCGTACGCCGACTACAGCAACCACCCGGACCCGCCCCCCGCTTCCCCATGGCCCGCGGATGCCCAACAACCTTCGAGGACCGAAGTCGACACCAAAGGGCATCATCTCGTTCGATGTCTACAATCGTGTAGAGGAGGCGACCCCAGCGTACTCCAGCCCCCGCACCTCGACTTGCTCGCCATCGTCCTCGAGGTTCTCGGTAGACCGTGTCCCTCCACTCGAATGCGGCTCCTCGGCTCACTCCGCGGTGAGCAAGGGTGTGCAGACATCTGTGGGAGAGCCTATAACCCCAGCCACACCATCTACCGCTTCACCCGTCGTCAAGGTCATCAAGAAGACTGTAACACTTAAGCCCCCGCCAGCCGTGAACTTTGAGTCCGTCCCGGTGCCGTGGCGGGGAATGAGCCTGCAAACAGCACAATGGAGTCTCACATCGCGACAGCTTCAGGAGATCGTTTCGACAGCAATACGGACGTCCGCTCAAGAATCGTTTATACGACTCGTCCCCCTTCAAACGCTAGATGAGCAGCTGACGGCGGAACTCGAGCGTCTGGAGTCGGTGAGCCCCGTCTGAGCCAATCATACACAGACATTATGAAATCTGACGCCTCGACGACCGTGGGGAATAGCTCAGGACGACGACACAGGCACAGTATAGGTTCAACGTGCAGAGGAGGATGATGTTGTTACAATCGCTGAATGCACTATCTACCTCTCAATCCCCCGACGCCGGAGATCGAGAAGCTATTGGAAACCTAACCGCGCAGCTGGCTGAGGTAGCAGCATCCTGCGATCGGCTCATGGAAACCCTCTTGATTCTGTCCGATCAACGTGCTCAAATCCAGCGATTACAGGACGTCCACATTGCGTCAGCGCTTGCAATGGCATTACGCAAACTGAACACTTCATATAGTCGACGAGCATCCGAGCTGGATCAGGCGAAGATCAAGATCGAGGAACTCAAGGCGGAATTGGAGGAGGCATGGCAAGTTGCAGAGGAAATGGCACAGGAAATGGACGACCTAGACAACTTCGACTTTGGCTACGACGATGAAGTTCTGGAGACCACGAGCGCAGTTATTGGAGAGACACGCACCGAGCAAAGCGTGCAGCTTGCTGAAGTGATGGAGATTACAGGGACGGCGGTGGCGACGAAGGCTAAATATACCAACGCAGCTGACGGGCAGTCGTCGAATGGCGACCGGGCGGGTCGAGTTACGGCTGCTCGACGGCGGAGCATTCGTACGTCAAAAGCGAGCTTGCGTCTCCCGAAGACGCCATCGACCCCTGGGGAACAATCCACCACGCCCTCCCGAAGGGCGCGGAGCCGTAGTAAGAGCTGTCGTCGCCCATCCATGACCGCAGATGGAAATGTCCCACAAGTTCCTATCATTCGCATTGATTCGACGTCCTCTTACAAAGACGACTCGTTCTTGGAGTTGTCGGAGACGCGACCTGCATCTCCTACTAGCAGCGCCTCCCCACAATCGCCACCTCCTCTTCCCCAGACGCTGGTCATCGATGCCAAGTGGAAGAGAGACACGTTAGAACTCCCTGCACCATCGCCTAACCCGACTCTGCCCTCGCCTGGCTTTGATCGCACGATTATACCACCGCTGACCCTGCGCGGGTCGAAGGACGATGCATTCTATGCTACCCCGCGGGAACTCGACGTGGCTGCTGGCAGGCGGGTACAGTCTATGCAGCCGCTCTCTCGATCAGATACCCTTCCCGAAATGCTACTCAGCGCTCTTCGGCGAACCAGATCCGACTCTCGGAAACTGGGCCGGGCGCTGCAGGAGGTGCAAAAACCAGCTAGATATTCTGTTCCCCTGCGTGCCACCAATGAGGTCGAGCAGCCTGTGCAGGCTAAGGCGTACAAACTTCCGGAACAACCTGCGACAGAAGTTCCCCCCAGCCCGAGTAGTCAAGCTTAAATCCCCCACTTTGACCTTTATTGATCATATTCGCTAGAGTACTTCAGGTGAGTACCGCACTGTAATTTCTGAGCCACGGTGCTGACACTCGTGGTTAGATAACTTAATACTATTACCCGTCTCCACATCTTATAAGCAAAGTAACATAATTTTTAGCATCTTTGTATTGTTTCCAATTTGATGCGCGCTGCTACTAAATATGTACATGTGGAACATTATTCCGTCAATCACTGGATGAAATCATGTTGTATTGTGCTGCCCACTTGTACCCTTCCTGGATTTGATACTTCTCTTGAATATCTTGTTGCGAGCGGTGTACACTTGTGCTATGCTCCTGAGCTACTAGTGATATATCAACAGACGAACGTCGTGTTTAGCGCCTTGTAGTTCCTTGCGAGGTCAGAGTCCTGAAGCGATAACATCTAACAGACATAGTAAATTCAATCTTCATGCGCAAGACAAAACTCCAACAGTATGGTACCCATATACTTCACGACAAGCCTGCACAGCGCAGATCTTGCCATATCTTTAATATGGGCGACTTCACCAGGCAAGCTTTTGGTCTCCAATCATAACCCCTTTGCGTGTGTTGACCCTAAAGCAGTAAGGAGAGTACAATACTTCCCTTTGACACAAACCAGGGTGATGTCATTAGATACCAAAGAATTTGCGATTGCACAGTGTGTTCAGTGTTCATTCTGTGATCCCTTGGGTTAAGACAGTGGGAGGTCATGATACTCAGCTGAAATAGCTTCGTATCTTCAAGTAGCTGGAACCGGACCAGTTTTTCGTTTGGTCGCATCGTTGACCGTCACACCCAGAATTCTCAAAGGCGAAATGATACACGAATACCATACGAAAGAACAGCAGACTCACACGCTCCCACCGTTGCGAAGCTGAATCATGTCAGTCGATCAACGGATTATGCGTGGTAGCGAGATAATAAAAACATTGAGAGTGCGAAACTGGGAGTGACATCTCTTCTGATATGGCCATCCGTGAGTCTGCTTCTCACTATGCTTGTGTAGGAAAGCTGGCTTGCAGAGATTCTCTCATGCACGCCATGCCGGTACTTTGTATCCTCTTCCCATGAATCATTGCATGATGTGCAATTGTGGAGAACACTCACAGCGGAGAAGAAGAATCCATTAGGTGGTAATGTCCGGTGCATTCAAAGCAAATCGTTCGTCCTACACCCAGAAGCGAATAAGTCAATGAGAAAAAGCGCGAGTGCCAGGGCATGAATGTGACTAGGGGGTAGATGCTGGCCAGAACCAGCGAAGAATCTTCCACAGTATCCAAATTCCAACGAAGGCGGCCGCACAATATCCGATTGTCCGCCATTGTTTCACCCCCCCAGAGCCAATACCAAAGGCCTGGCCAGCGCGTCGTGATGATTGTGCGAGGGATGACCCGAAGGAGGCAAACGTATCGCGCTAGACACGACCATCGACAAATACTCCTCACGACAGAAGCAGGGAAACTCACGGTTGCATCCAGTGCCGAGTTTTGCCTTTCCACATCATCGTAGATATCAGTTGTAACCTTGTAACTGGATCTTCAATAAACCGTCTAATTGGAGAAATGAGGCATGCTCACTCCCCGCAGACTGCGAAGCTTAGAATGTAGATCCTCGAGCCTTTCGTCATTTTGCGTCTCGTATGTATCTTCTACTCGGTCTCTTGATGTAGACATGGTTGGGGTGAAATTGGCTATACAGGCTGAGTTCCGTTAAAGCCTAGCGTTGAATCAGGAGATGGGGGCGAGTGTCGCACTGAAATCATGTAGTAGCAGCCCTAGTAGGCGTGAATCGCGTTCGCGACTGACGGTGTTCCCCCGTGATTGTCTCCACGCTGCTGCTGACTAAGCAAACCATTATACTCTCGAATGTTGGCGCGACGTGTCTCCACAGTACAGGACGGTCGACTGCGGCCTGGTCCTCCTTCAGCTTTGTTTTTATACACCTCACGATCATTCCCAGTGTAGGCGGTGAAGTCGCTGCTTACAGCTATGCCTTTGGCATACTCTTTACCGTCTGACTTGTCGCCTGCGACGGTGGCGAACACTTCGTCGCTACTGCGGATAGTCGCACTGGCACTCATTTCTGGTGCTGCCATTGCTTCCCGACTCTTTGCTGTCGTCAATTTCGAGAGTATCATTCATGAATTGTGCGTATGCACACCAACGAAAACTGCTTATAATTAACTGTATAATGTATTCAGTGACCCATGGTTTAACTAGTAAGCTCAATGTTATGCCTACCGGGCAGTCCTAGCTAAACCAGTCATCAGCCGTGCTACTCGTGTCTTAGCCGAAAAGGGCTTTTACGTGCGTTCCTCATGATGTGATACCGGAGAACTAGCTAACACCATCAATAGGAATTCTGGAATTGGTTTGACCCCACAGCATGGTATCCACTGGGTCGAGTCGTCGGTGGCACTATCTATCCCGGTCTCATGGCCACCAGCGGCGTCATATACAACGTTCTCCATGCCCTCAACTTGCCCGTCGATATTCGCAACATTTGTGTGCTCCTTGCTCCTGGGTTCAGCGCTCTTACAGCGTGGGCGACCTATATGTACGTTGTCGATCGCTATGAAACATTTTGACATGCGCGCATTCAACCTCCGCGCAGGTTCACAAAGGAAATGAAAGACGAAAGCGCAGGCCTTCTTGCTGCGGCCTTCATCGGCATTGTTCCCGGCTACATTTCGCGCTCAGTCGCTGGTTCATACGATAATGAGGCGATTGCTATTTTCCTCCTCATGTTCACCTTCTACTGTTGGATCAAAGCTCTCAAAACTGGCAGTGCATTCTTTGGTACATTAGCCGCCTTATTTTACTTTTATATGGTTGCTGCTTGGGGTGAGTGGTTCTCATATTATGATCACAATGGTTTTCATGGTGATCTTCCAGGTGGCTATGCCTTCATCACAAATATGATACCCCTCCACTCATTTGCATTGATCCTCATGGGTCGCTTCAGCAGCCGCCTTTACGTTGCATATTCGTCTTGGTACGCCATCGGAACCCTTGCCAGTATGCAAGTACCCTTTGTCGGGTTTCAACCTGTCAGGACGAGCGAACATATGGCCGCCCTAGGTTGGTGTGATCACAAGCTTCCGCTCGGGGTTCGTAATGACACATTGTTTGCAGGCGTGTTCGGTCTGCTGCAGATCGTTGCTTTCGCGGAGCTCGTAAGGACGCATGTTTCGTCAAAGCAATTTCAGACCCTCCTCTATGCCTCAGTCGTTGGAATGGGTTTCCTCGGGGCTTTGGCGATCGTCGGCCTCACGTACAAGGGATGGATCGCACCATGGACAGGCCGTTTCTACTCCCTTTGGGATACTGGCTATGCAAAAAAGTACGAGAAAAATCATCATTCTGTGCTCCTAGTGCTGATGTTGCTCACACGTTAAAGATACATCCCCATTATTGCATCTGTCTCTGAGCACCAGCCTACGGCGTGGCCGTCGTTCTTCATGGATCTGCAATTGCTCATCTTCTTGTTCCCTGCAGGTGTAATCCTGTGTTTCCGTCAGCTACGTGACGAACACGTCTTTGTCATCATCTACGCCGTTGTCGCAAGCTATTTTGCCGGCGTCATGGTTAGGTTGATGCTGACACTAACTCCTGTTGTCTGTGTTACCGCCGCAGTAGCTTTCTCATCGGTACTCGATACCTATATCGATCCCGTTGAACCGGATGCTGAAGAAGAGGATTTCGAGGTTGCAGAAGCTACTCCCAGTGGGAGCTCATCAGCGGTGTCGGCAACCTCCGGAAACGCAACGAAGAAAAACAAGAAAGCCATATCTGCATCTCAGGCTGGACCTCTCGATAGTTTGGTATCGTCTGTTACATCCGCAGTTGCATCCTCGAAGAAAGACAAAGTATCTCGTGGCATCTTCGGCCTCGATACGCGTGGAGCGGTGCTCTTCAATGCGCTGGGCATGCTGTTTTTCTTCGTATTCCACTGTACTTATGTGACTTCTTCGGCCTACTCCTCGCCTTCAGTGGTGTTGGCGTCAACGAACCCGGACGGCAGTCAGCATATTATAGATGACTTCCGCGAGGCCTACTATTGGTTGAGGCAGAATACCCCCGAAACGGCTGTCGTAATGAGCTGGTGGGACTACGGATATCAGATTGCAGGCATGGCGGACCGTCCAACCCTAGTAGACAACAACACGTGGAATAACAGTTCAGTGTCTTTTACTTTTTTTGAATCCTCTCGCTGACTCTCACCTTTGGTATGTAGCGCATATTGCGACTGTGGGAAAAGCAATGTCCAGCAGCGAGGAGGTCGCCTACCCGATCTTGCGCAAGCATGACGTTGACTACGTTCTTGTTATCTTTGGTGGTTTGTTAGGATACTCTGGTGACGATATCAACAAGTTTTTGTGGATGGTCCGTATCGCACAAGGTGTTTGGCCGGACGAGATCCAAGAGCCGAACTATTTCACTGCGAAGGGAGAATACAGAGTAGACGATGCGGCGTCGACGACGATGAAGAACAGTTTGATGTACAAAATGTCTTATTATCGGTGGGTCGTCTCGGAGTTCCGGAATGAGTGGTTCTGATTAGGTTGGATTGTTAGTTTCGCTGAGCTATTTGGCGGCAATCAAGCCATGGACCGCGTCCGCGGTCAGCAGATGCCTAAGGTAGGACCGACACTGGACTACCTAGGTAAGCTAATCCGAATTGTATCTGCTATCGATCTTTCCTGAGCTCTCCACAGATGAGGCCTTTACATCGGAAAATTGGATTGTAAGTCTTGATATAGCATGTTTTCATTTTCGTTTCTGATGACGTCCAATTTTAGGTGCGGATATACCAAGTCAAGAAGGACGATCTTCTAGGGCGGGACCTGAAAACCGCTAACGCCTTCGCTCAGGGCAAGAAAAGAAAGAGAACAAAACCTCAACCTAGGCGGAAAGCGCTTGCGTAGGGGGAGGGATTCTAACATAGTCTGCTATTCAGTCACGTAATTGACCATTGCTGTCTGACGAATCGCACTGGGTTGGTATCAGCTAATGTCGGAGCCTCTGCACTTCCTTTAGCTCGTTCCTACATCCGTGACTTGCCCCGTACACGTTCTGTGTGCTGCTCTTAGATGTAGTAGACCACATGTCATGAGGAATAGCATCATGTGGTCCCATGTCGTGCCGAATATTCGCAGAGCGTATTCACGGTCTCAATGCCGTGGCATTCGAGCTGACGGACATATAGCAAGTGACGATTTCACGGGTTCTTTGATCCTCATGCATTGCTTGAACAGGCCCATCTACCCCCGCGTCTACCATTAGCCTCCATTATGACATATACTGTCGCGATGCGCCGCTGCCCGGTGTGAGCACTGTAGAATGAGCGGCTCCGCTTCCTCGGTCGTCGCCGAGAGGACGGGACCACAACATTGCGGTCCTCATCTCGGTGCCAGAGACGTGAGAGTGTGTCATATTCACGCGTACTGTGACCTCATCCTCGTGGAAACATTGTTGTACGAAACTTGGAAGATCGCCCTGTAGATTGCGCTTAGACGCACGCAGTCTTACTTACCCGCCGTGCGTCCGTATTTATTCTGAATTCTGACAAGGTTTATCAGCATATAGGATGGCGAACATTTTCTCGTGCATCCGAGAGCGCGAGAGACACAACGCCGAAATTTCATCGTGCCAGTCAATGTATGTAATGACTGTTCGCCCAGTTGTCTAATCCGTCGGAATCGCAGGCTCTGCAATATGCTCAAGGTCGGAAGCCAGGGCACTCCAATTGTGAAGAGTAGTATTTGCTCCTTGCACTATTTCCGGTGATCATTTTCGCTGACCATCACAGCGCAGTCAGACTCAGATCGGCGCTACCAAGCCAAATGACTCTTAGAAAATTGGTGTTCACCTTCCTGCCGTGGGTGTCTCCCACTCATCATCTCGCCCTGCGGCCGTGTAAAGCACGATCGTGTGGTGCGGGTCTTTGCTGACATTCGCCACCATACACCTTGATCATCGTAAATGAATCCTGCACGTGGAAGTTCACCGAGACATCGGAGGAGCGCCTCTAAGGCAAGCCAGATGATACATCCAGTCTGAACACGGCGAGTTAGGGAGGCATATGACGCCAAGGGCGCCTTTGAATGTAAGTTGTCTTCGGAGCACGACTGCAAGATCCGAAGCAGTGTCAAACCTAAGTGGTGGTGTTATACAGATGTTCTGCAGCCACATGAGGAGAAGCAGCTGTCTTTCTGAGCAATATGCATGTATACACGAGAATAATTATCCCGCTAATAGTGAAATTTGCACATAGTGTCTCGGCTAGCCTGTATCAATTGGCATTAGCTACTACTCATGTCCCACACGTTCAAGCTTCATTCTTCCATCATACGCCGCAACTTCCCACTGCCCTGCGCTCACTCGCCATCAGAAACCTCGGCGCCTTCAGTTTCGCCACCAGTAGTGGCATTGGCGCAAAGGCTCGCAAACTCCGCATCACTAATCCGGCGGAAATGAATCCCGCCAGACTGCCAGCCCTGCAAGAGTCGATCGAGTATGCCGTTGTTCGAGATATTACTGAGATTCTTGAAAGGAATGTCCTGTGGCCAGCCATCTATCATAACGCGGTACCGAACGACTATATCCCTCCAATAGGTGGCATAATGCATGGTGGCGACTTCATCATGCGTAATGTCCCCTAAAGACAGCAGTTCAATCAGCCGGTGGGTGGACCAGAGCAGTAACTCCATACGTAAAGCTTGTAACATAATGCGACGGATCGTTGACCTCGTTTCGGTCATCTTGTCGGTGTACGACGGCTTTGGGTTAAGACGATACTTTGACTGACCAGGGTGGGACATAGCTGAATAGGAATACGAGGGTGACGCAGTCTGAGTGGGGACTGGCATACCGGACGACCATTTTATAGTGGCCAACACTCCTCCAGTCAACTTTCACGAGTCTTGTGCCTTTTCCGCAGATCTACCTGACGGCAGGCCCCGTGCATAAGTTGTGGGCAAGTAGTCGGCCAGTGCGAAGGTCGGAAGACAGAAGTTACGTGACACCCTGGAGCAGCAATGTGCGAATTGTACCTATGCGGATCAGTCACAGTCTGACAGAAAGGGAACTTTGAACTAGAAGCAAACGTGCGGTGCTATGAGCACGATGAGATCCTTTACATGTTCGGAGGGATGACCATCACCGGCGGCCATAATGAGTTTTCAGTAGAATGATGAGAGCGCTCGCTGTGAGCACACCACATCCAAGAAGTCTAGACAAAGACGTGAGGTTGTGTTCGGAACACCTGTTCACTGCAGAGTTATTGCAGCGCGAAGAGATCTCTTGTACTCGTGGCATGTATCCAGCCATCTGATAAGGGTGAGGCCGAACCCTCTTACCTCCCTAAGTTCCATCTTCGACCAACAGAAGCACCACGGGCAAAAAAAATGAAACTCTATTCTTATCATTGGTTAAGCAGGATGGTGCCCGGACAATGCAGCCTACAAGCAAGCCATTTGACGATGATTCAAGACTCACCGCTTACTTTCGTTTCGCACGTCATCTGCAGGTCCCCGATGGCCATCGCTGCAGATCGATGAGCTACTCGAGGTTGCTGTTCAAGACCATCACGGAGCGTGAGCGGTCAGGACGAGGTGCTTACCTGAGGCCGTGACAAGGTGGAGGCGGCTCATCAGTCCGTAATCTAATTCCGACACGAGTCCCCGCGAAAAGTCGCCCGTAGTGCTTCTGCCGCCTCGGTGGGATTATGCCATTTTCTCGGGTCGCGACTGGTATTTTGCTGCTAATGATGGCTGAGATAGGTCATAAACAAGAGCAGAACTCCGATCTCATCCACCGACATCGACCTCGGGCGTAGTCCAGCGCATAATTTCTCGACGACTTTAGATCACGAACATAGATCTCGTTTACTATCAGCGAGAGAACACTAAACAAGTCGCGGCCGGATGATAGAGCTCGAGAGGCGTCAAAGCGAAGACCCAGTTTGAGTATTCTCGACACTGAGGATGGTATCGACCGAAAGGGCTCTTTGTGACTTCCGTATCCCGATCCGTTAAGTCTCCGCATGACATCTGGCCACGGAGCCACTCAGCCGGAGGCTAGTAACGACTGAATTGAGAAGCGCCAATCTCCGTAGAAATATTGCTGCACGCTGGATTAGCAATCTATGCGCACCAGGGGGCATGACTTGATTTGTGATATCGTTCAAGCAGCGCGCTCATGGGTATGGGGAGAGACGGCCGCGGGCAATCCAGACGTGAGCCTGTCGGATTGATCCAGGAAAACGCGTGTGCAACGCACTACTTTTGTCCCCACCGCGCACCCAACACCCTGAATTGAAGCTTCTATCTTCCAGGCCCTTTCTAGTGCAGACATGCCAGGATGCCGCATGTAAAGAGGCACGGTCACCCTAATAGTGGTGTTCTCCAACACACGCCGCTCCCGAACGTTGACCTGTGAGAAAGGTGTGGTTCACTATAGTAATAGAACTGTTAAAAGGGTAAGACAAGAGTTCGATACGGTGGACCTGAGATCAAATCTGGAGAATCCGTCGAAGGTTATCTATGGTTGTCATCCTCATGAGGTCAGGATGCACAGGCCGCAAGAAACTGGACAACGTAGACCCGAGTCTGGAGCTTGCGACTGTCGCTTGAGATTGGTCAACCCCCGCTGATGCTCTGCACGATATCAGGGTCACATCACTCACAGAGGGGGGGGGCTCCGCGCCTATAGGCAGCCTGGATAACACGTATTACCTTGCGAAGTCGTTGTAGACATTGTCCCTGCTCTCGCTGCCTCTTCTCTTCGGATCGCTATTCAATAATAAAACCGTGAGATAGCCGGCACACCTAATCAATTGGTAAACGGTTGTTGTTCCCGCGAGTGCATGCTTGAGACTTCCAATTCTTTGACTGTCTGAAGCCAACACACTGACCCTGCACTAGCTTCGCGGAACATAAAGTGATGGCGGCGATTCACTATTAGTATTACATAGCCAAATGCTTCCACGTGATGATACTGTGTGATGCTATCTGCGCGCAAAACTCACATAGAACAACGTAGAAGAAAACAATTGACTGCGATAAATTTCAACAATATAAGTCAGGGAGTATAAAGACATAGCACGGACTTCTACAGTTCATCCTTGGTATGAACCCCTGCCTTTCCATCTGATACTGTACTCGACTCCGTCGCGGCGGAAGCGTGAGGTGCTTCTAGAATGTTGCCTGTGTCTTCGGGTTCCACGGGAGGTGGTACCTCAGTCGGTTCCGCCTCCGTGGCCATTAATGGCTGAGTGCTCGAGGGCGGCGATAAGGGCGGCGATGTCGGCTCCTCTTCTGTAGGTATATTTGGGGTAGAGACATTTGAGGGATCAACCACAACTTGTGCAGTGTTTCCTGAGGACTGTGCATCTGAGTGATCGTCGTTTATCGCCTGTTTCGACTCTGGGAACTTCGCGGTTCCGTCTGCTACGGACTTCAAGTGTTTATCTAATGGAGCATATTTCAAGCGCCCTGCTCGACAGTAATACAGTGAAAGCAGATAGGGTGATAACCATGAAGTACCTTCGTAACGAACAAGCTCAGAAGAGCCTGCGGGCGAGATAAGGACCTTGGAATCTTTATTGGGCTCGTCTTCCAGTCCTAATTTAACAGCCGCTTTCCCACTCTTGTCGTACAAAATCGCAAAATCAATGCTATCCTTGTATTTATTCCCAAGCGCTTTCCACATCAGTGGGATAGTTTTTGCTGAGCTGAGTAGGACAGCCTGAGGCTTCGCAGAATGCTGGAGTGTGAATGGTTAATACAGCGGGCGGAATGAGCAATAAGCGTGACTTACAGAATCAGTCCAGGTGATAACGTCAGCGCCATTATCCAATTTCTTCACATCATGAGGTATGTTTCGTGAGGTCCAATGAAAAAAGTTGTTAGCTATCCGTTCTCCGCCCTCGAAGCCGATAGACTTTGACTTTCCGCCGCGTGGGTATAACTACATAGACACGTGAGACGCGTGGACAAAAGTAGGGGAAAGAAAGGCCACACTTTAATGGTTGGGAAGCCTTGCACTCCTTGCTCCGAGCACAGCCGTTTGTTGGAATCTTGGTCACAATCTACCGCGTAGAGCGGGACCATTGGAGAAAGCGCTTCAGATGCCTTGCTGTACTCAGGAGCCATTCTTTGACAATGCTAAGGAGTATGGGTCATATACGACCATGTAGACATTTTAGGACGTATCGAGACTTACTCACCCCACACCACGGCGCGACGAACGCTACGACTGAAGTCGACTGTCAATATAGGTTAGGGTTAGATATGCCAAGAGCAACAGTCAAGAAAAAACAGCATGTATAAACGCATCGCAAGGTTTATGAAACGAATATCTCGGCAGCGTCACCACATAGGATAGTCATACAGGAGAACATACATTCTGTTTCATCGCCTTCCTGAATCCTTTTGCATCGATTAATTTTACTTTAGTGTTAGAAGGGAAGAGCGCCGCATGAACCAGTCCGGGTGATACGATTAAAAATATGGCCAGTAGCCGATGCAACCACATTATGATTCAGTGACCCGTAGCAGGAGCGATTATAGGCCAATGTTAGGAAGGAGGGGTAGCGGCGAATGCAGATTTCAGAGCAACTCGGAGTCGAAGAGCAGCTCGAAAAGGATCGTGGGACAACATTGCAGGGTGACTTGAGTGACGTGGCCGTTTCTCATTCCGCATGCATGGCATTGACTGCAAATCGCGTTTCGTGAACGCTTTTTCCTTCAGTTTGACTGCATCACCGGTGCTACCTTAAAAGCACATACGAAGGGTCCGAATATCTGAAGAAGTCTGACCGGTGAGTAGGCAGTCCTCTTCGCATATTTGGCGCCAGGATTTATCTTCAGACGCTCACATACGTGGCGCACTACACACATCCCTCAACGACAATTGAGAAGTATGATAACACGAACATCAACCTGGACATGCCGGCTTTGTGATGCCCACCGACTTTTTGATACTTTCTGGTTTTTCAACGTTGAGTGTTCAGCGACGGTTCGCATGAACTCGGAGCGGGCTCGCGCCCTCGAACCCTACGTCAACAGCGCACCAACACGTGTACCACTTGCGTTTGCGGCATGTTACCGGCGAGGTAATCTCATAGCAATACCATACATAAAGTTGTACTCAGCAACTGGGTCGACTAGCTATCCTCGTCGTTGCTCTTCGATAGAATCGACGCATTGCTATCACTGCTCTCACATTCATCATACTCAGTAAGAACCGAAGCTAGAGCTTCTTGCACCACAATCATCATCATGCTCCCACTGAGCGATTTCAACGTCGTTTGTTGCGCATTGGCAACGTTTTCTGCTGCTGTGGGCTATAGATTATCTCGCCAGCGACGGAATTCTGAGATCCAACGGTGAGTGCTGCTTGATCTTGGCCATCGCTGACTACATTAGACGTTTTCTCAATATCAATGATACTTCTCCAGTCGGTTTAACATTGAGCAACATAGAAGTTTACAATCGCGACGGAGTGGGAGCCCTGCCAGCGTGCTTTCTGTATGTGATCATAGTTCGGACAGCACGCTTTCAGAGCAGTCGGTCACCGATTCTCCCACCCCATCTGAAAATGTGAGATCTATGGCCAGCAAATACACCACCCACTGAATCGGCAAATTTCCGTCTGGGTCGTTAGACACTCGAAGACACTGAACCTGGAACATTGAAGAGAAAACACAGAGATGAGGATGACGAAAGTGTACACCATTTCGCTGCACATACCATAGGTCAGTAAACTCACTTTCGCGGATCTACAGCTGGTGGATGAGCAATCAAGGCACCCTTCTGAGGTAAGTTCCTGCTTGAGATCATCGTCGTATTGAAAATGCTGAACATATCGAGAAGAAAGGAAATCCTGCACCTCTAAAAAGGGTGCGCATTACGCCTCAGCCAGAAGAAATGGACGGCAAGCTGAAAACTGAAGAGACTGGGCTCATCACGTCAGCTGAACCACCCCAGTCCGATGTCTCTTTACAATCGAAGCCGATGGAGGAAGTCGATAGTCATGCTGCCGTGGTCAAAGTTGTAACTGTCCGTGTCTGCAGGTGTATCAGAAGCTTAATATCAAGGCTGATCTGAATTACTATGATCAGGAGATATCAGAACCTCTACGAAACGTTCCTCTCTTTACACCGGCGCTCCCGCCTATTCAAGCGGTGCGTCGCAATTTAATGGCATATGGCGTGCTGGTACTCATATTTGATCGTCCATTGCAGGTCAAGCCGTCGTGCGCATTTGCGTCTTTCGCCAATTCTACGTCCCCATTCTTAGTTGCACCGGTGGCCGCCGCTTCTGCAATGCACGCTTCTGTGTGGTGCTCTGGTGGTACCACCGATTTTGTTGCGCCTGGGTCGTGTTCTTCAGCCCAGAAAGATCCACGGAACGATGAGAAGTTGGGGGGAATTGAGATACATGGTGCCAAGAATAATGTCGGGGAAAAGCCTGGAGTGAAGCAAGAAGATCCCCTGGCAGCGCAGTTCTATGCGAAGAGTTCTCATACTGGTGCGTACCCAAATTACAGTTTACTGCATGACATTGTCTCACACGTGGTCGCACTTAGCGATTACAGGGGAGGAAGACGAGGAAGTCGCAGCGGAGCTGAAAGGCGTGAAGGTTTTCATAAAACGTGGAGACCGCGAGTTCTCTGATGCGATCCTCGGGCACGTCAAGCTCCTTTCGCACAAGCAGACGGGAGATGAGCGTCTACGTGAGTATCGTAGTGCATGCTTTATGAGTACCACCATCCTCATCGTTCTGCTTCGCTTACGCACGTCAAGTTTTCCGCCGAGAGCTGGTGTGGAAAGTATCCATGAGTGTTCGGCTATGCCCCACGGTGCGCTGCTCGTTCGATGAAGATCAGGGTGTCCTCCGCGTTTCCCTCAAAGAAACCGAGGAATGTGAAGGTATCCCGCCGGAGAAGTGGCAGCAGCGAGTGGTCGTCTACGCTCTGAAGGTGCGTTTGGCCGACGAATCACCGCCTCCGACAACTGCTGATGGGGAGCTGCCTACAGAGAGGCAAGACTTCCAAGAGCGACTTTGCAGATTTCGCCCACGCCGTCACCTCCAGCTCGCCACTTTTTGCGCCATCGTCCACTTAGTCCATGGCCGCCACGTTCGAATGTTCGCTCATATGCTCATGACCTGGTCCATCCTCCCGGGGCAGTTCCCTCATAGCCGGCCGCCGCTACTCGCTGGCAACGTTCATGTGTCTCGGACCTTATGCAAGCCACTGCCCTGACGAGCTTGGGCTACATTCCGCCTTTGTGATCATCGATAAAGTCACCAGTACCGTCATGCCGTCATGGGTCACCGCCGGCGGGGGCAATCCAGCC